GAATTAATTTAATTCCCCATTCTGTAATATTTTATTGGCTTGTTCGTATTTTTTTTTGACTCAAGTAATGTGATCAATTTTTGCAATTTTCTTGTGCGCAGATTTTATTTTTTACAATAATTACGTCCAATTTATGTTATAAAACTTTTATATAAAATGTATTGTTAGTATTTGAATACATTAAGTAAGTAAATTTACTAAAGTAATTATTATTTTGAATAATAAGTTTTTAATTGCAAATTTTAAATAACCGATAGTAAAACTGTACAAAAGTAATAGTAAAGACTGATATTACGCTTGCAAATTCTAAAATTGCTTTCAATTTGAGTTTGTACAATATCATTATTTCATTCATTGTCATAAACAATTACCATTTTAAGTATCAACGAATCAACTGAACTTTTTCAGATAAAACAGTTGATGGATGAAAACGATAGAAGAGCTATGCATGAAACTGAAAAACTTCTAACAGTACGATTTTACATAAATTATCATATTTTCTGGAAAATTCTCAAAGTTTCTAGTCATACAAAGATTCTTTCATTCATTCTTTGCTTTGTTTTTAAAAATCTTTTGACAAGTGTTATTATTAATTGACAAAATTTTTGCAGCATTTAAGATGAATAATTTTGAATTTTTCATGTAATTTTACAGTTTGATGTGATATTCATTAAATGATATGTATATATACATGTTGAATAATTCATTAAATAGTAATACGAATTTCAGGATTCAAAATCAAAAATGAATTCAGAAATCGCTGTATTAATGCAAAAATTTAGTCAAAAAACCATTGAAGCGTTAACTGATCACTTGCAAAATTTCTTCAATGACAAGAAAATAGTAAATGTAAATTTTGTATCAATTATTAATTAAGTTAAGTGAATAAGTAAGTTAATAATTATAGCATTTTCAACCGTCGCAAAAAGTAATTTGTTTGAATGTGTAGTCAGTGTTTAGTAGTTTTGGTAAAATAACTGATTTTAGTAAGAATGTTGAAAACTTAATCTTGTCGAGAGTGATAGTAATGCAATAAATACTAAACATAAATGATAGGTTGAATTTATTTTCTGGAATTTAATTTCAGTTTTTGTTATTATCTTTTACAGTATTTCAAATATTATTAATCAAAGATTAAGTTTCAAATTGGCTATTCAGTTGATAAATTTTTATCAAATTTGAATTGAGAAGCAAGCGTACAGCTATGAGGAACGAATCAGTGGCATCGTTGATGATTTTGAGCGTTATTTGATTGTTTTTGAAAGTTTGCAAGAAAAATTAGAATATGTAGTTGAATTGGTCGACAAAATTTCTGGAGAAATGCAGACGGTTCTTGAGGTACGTAATTATATTAAAGTAATAAGTGCTCATAGTCTAATAGTTTGATTTTAATAAGTGTGATTAAAAATATTAATTAATTGCAATTGTCAGTGAAAAATGCATAAATTCGAATTAGAAGGATTAAAGATGTGTTGAATAAATGCTACTTGTTATATCCGTAGGTTTATAATAAGACTGACAATAATTCTCGATATACAAAGCGTAATTATTATTTAAAGAATGGAATCTAAGAATTGCAATATTCAGAAGTGCAGTAAGAATCTGAACAATCCGATCAGCACTCAACAATAAACGAATATTTCTACTTGAAAATACTCAACGCAAAATAAATCAACAAGCGTTTGATAAATTTTACTTAAAAAGAATCAAAGGACTAGAATACTGAACGTTTGCTTTTGGTAATTAAAGCAAATTTCATTGCAATTACGCTTGGATAATTATGCAAATTTGGATCGTTGTAAAAATTTAAAGTACAGCTAAAAAAACAAAGCAAACTTCATTTTTTTCAAATTATTATGTTTATTTTGTTAATAGAAAGGTTATTTTACTGCATACTTTTAGAATTTGACACTGTGATGACAAGCCATTAGAAAAGCTTTTTCTCAAATCCCATAGCAGTAGCTATAATTTGAGCATTTTTTTTAAAATACAACCTACAATCCGATTTGAATTTAAGGCACAAAAAGCTTTTTGGACGATTATATACAATTCATTCAATTACTAATGTCATTTATTGTGTTTACTTTACTTTTACAATTATTTTTATTTGCTTTTGTGAAGTTTATTCTGTGCAACTTTGAAAGAATTTTAAAATGTATGCAAGTCAATTACTTTCCATTTGTGCAACGGCTTTGCTATTCATTCTTATGAGTTAATTGATGGCGAAAATTGTAGAAAACGGTTTTAAAAATTGAATTGCATATTACTTTATTTTAGTGTGAAGAAATAAACAATTTCTTTACAAAAGAAGTTTTTCTCGTACTATTCTTGTTCAGCTCATCATGAAGTGAGGAGTAAAATTTTAATAAAAAAGTAATTAATAGTAATTTATTGATTTATAGAAAGGTATGAATTAATATACAGTAATATATTGTACAAATACTTAATTACATTTAATACATATTTTAGACATATATGCACTATATAATATCTCAATTTGTGTCATAATATTCTAATGGATACATTCAGCGAATTATTCAGTTGTTTGCACAAGTTTATTGACAGAGGAGGTCAAGATCGAACATCGAACAGGACAGTTTATTCTGTAAAATTATTATTAATACGCATATAATAAATATAGCTATTCAATAATTAATACACGTATAATTATTACTGACATTTCTCAAATCACTGTTTGAATATGACCCATTTCCATTACTTTGGTCTGAGTTACAACTAGTTTAACTATAAAGTTAACTATAAATTTAAACTAGCCATAACTCAGACCAAAGTTTTGCATTATTTACTTTTAGTTTTAAAAGAAATTATAAACCTTTCATCAGATTTCTCTCCAATTAGTAAACAGTCATTGTTAGTTTGGCAGGCGTTTTTTTGCAATTTTTCTAACTTTTCTTCCAATTTTTCTCGTTTTTCACGTTCTTCATCAAGCATCCTTGAACAGTTAATAAATTACACATCAGTAATTCAGAACAAATAAATAAATAAAGTTAGTTAATTAACTAAATTAAATAAATAAACATCTCATGAATTATATTTGCTTTTAAAAGTTTGTAATGTGAATTTTAACATCATAAGTTATAATGTAAAATGATTTTTCAGGGTTTCGAGAAGCCTTGCATATACCTTGTGAATTCATTTCAGCAACTTTTCATTCATAATACTTTGATTTTGTAAGTCAAATATTTACAAAGTAACTAATAAATATAAGTATAGAATGTATACTTAGTAATGCACAAAATGTACACAATAATATACTTCATATACTTGGTACATGATTAATTAACGTAGTATAGCAGTAAACCTAGTTGCTAATGTTCTAACAATTTCCTCATCATGAAGAGCTATTCGTTGATCTTCCAACAGCTGCATCAATCGCTCATTTTCGCATTCAAGTGCTAATCTCCATGACAAATTTTTATCAGACAAAGAGCGATATTCTTTACTGCATGAACTATTTCGATCATATTTTTGAAGTTCTTCAACTGATTTCATTTCCATAGCCAAATTCATAGCTAAAACTTGAATTCTTAACACAAAGTTTCAATACTACTTATAATTAGTTTTCATGAATAAGTATCAGGTTTGTGACAATATGCTAACTAAATTAAAAATAAGCTAAAAATGAGGAAAAAATAATAAAAAAAAGATTAACCAAGAATCCATTGTTTCCGACGAAGTTCATCAAAATGTCCAAATTCATGCTTTTGTTTTGAATTCGTTGTAAGCAGCCATGTAAATCGTTCTTCATTAAATGCGCCTATCTAATGGATATTATTATACAAGTTCACATGAACAATTATATAATATTATCTTTCACATTGAACACTTTAGCTTAAATTTGAATTTTCAATATTTGTCTTGAAATAAATTTCAAATTCGATATAGAACACTTTTTTTTTACTTTTTATTCTAATTGCTTTTTTATAATTTTTGAAAATCTTCTCTTATAGAAAAGGAAAAAATTTACAAGTTAAGTGAAAAATATACAAAAATTTTTACAATAATATATATGGCATAATTTTTAAATAATTAATTTGCTTTATTATAAATATTTATATGTTTGTACTTTGTAAAGTATTAAGTAAAGGACATTTTGTTTATACTTTGAGCTATTTGAAAAATTACCATTACTAATAAACTTGAACTAATGAGAAATTCAAAACAAACTAATTATTTATTGAGCAGAAATTCAAAAATAAAAAAAAGAAAGAACCAATATGAACTATCGATGACTGATCAACATTAATTAGTTTTTTTTTTCCATTGCTAGCCGATTTATGCAATGGCCATAAATGTATAACACCAGGTGTAATCGTGCACCAATATGTTCGCCATTTAAAATTTTTACTTCCAATTAAGCATTGCTTTTTTGCATCGCTTTTACTCCAATAAAGTAGAAAGCCCTGTAAAAAAACGCTTTAAGTTTGGAAATTAAAAAGTTGTTAGACTAAATTTATTCTTCACAATACCTTTTGTTTTGCTTCTGTGATATAGCTTATGCTGTAGACTGTTCTGCTCTTCACAGCTAAAGTATTATATTTTTCAAGCACAATTTCATTTCAACTTTGCTAGAATAAAGATCGCTAGTATGAAGCTAGCTAAAAAATCTGCTCATTACACTCAGTATAAATTGCAAACTTAAAGATCTACTTCTTAACACTTATCACAATTCTTTACACTATGAATAAGATTATAAGACTTTAAATTTGCATATAATAGTGATATGCTTTTATTATACTCGTAAAATCGCATTGCATAATAACACTCTTTTATCACAGATGCAATTTATATCATAATCCGACATGTTAATTTTCAGGATTGATATTAAGTATTTAATTATTATTTTATCATTATTATTATAATTATTATTAAATATTAAAAGTATGACTATTTAAATTTTTCATGCTAAATTGTTTTTTAAATTTAAGCAAAATTCATTCAAAGTTCAAAATATTTTATTAAGTTCAAAATAATAGCAAAAATAAAATGCTATAAAGCAAATTTATTAAAGAAGAAAATGAGAGATTCCTAAAAATAATGCAAATATATTGAGATAAACAGCAAACCTTGCAAATAATTTGTTGTACAAATCGTTCGAAAACTCGATCTACTAAAGGTTCTAATTGCTTACGATCCGGAAATAACAGATCACATATGTGTAAAAAATTTCGAAAGGTCATGACATCCTTTTTTCCCAAAATTGGCATAAAATTTTGAGTTTGTTCTATTCTCCCATTCAACCTGAATATTATCATTTTTATGAGTTTCTTTGAACCAAATAAATGCTAAAAATAATAATAATTATGCAAATAAACATGACTAATTTAACTGATTTTTATATCAATTAGTGTATCAAACAATACTAATCTTCTGAATTATAACCTAAACAATTCATCAATGATAAAATGTGCTTGCTGTGAAGTGATATGAAATTGATTATCACTGAAAACTGTAAATATTCGATATAAACGTTGTGAGATTTGATCACTACTAAATTCGTCGATATGCGTTGATTCGTCAGCCATTTTTACACACTAAAATTACAATTATCACGCAAAAATATTTGTAAATACTCAAAAAATTAAAAGCGTTTACTTTATTGAAGTTAAATTACATTTAAAATAATACAAATAAAATAAAATTTAATGCAAAATTATACTTTTAATTTAAAAAAGAATAAGCAAAACAAAGATTGAAGGTCAAATATTGTACAGAAATCAAAAATGTTACAAAATTCATTCCTCGCAGCAATAAATTTTTAAGAACTTTTACAACACGAGAAATGACATTTATTTATTATATATATATATATATATGCAAAGGAAAGATAAAGTGTTAAATCGTTTTGAACGAATTCTCTCTTGCATTTACAACAGTTTATCTACAAGATTATCTGCATTTCTTGCATACAAATTATCCCAATCTGTTCCACTTTTTAATTATTATACTTACTATTAAATAACTCAAGTTCATTTTTCAGATTATTGTAAGTTGACCTCTCCAATTATCCATTAACTTGTAAAATTTATAAATGATAAAAACATACTAATTATAAAATATTCAATTAGTAATTAGTAAATGCAGTAAAATAAGTGAAAGTAACTTACTTAACTTAGAGATACTAATGATAAATAATATGAAGTAACTACCTTAAGTTAGAGAAAGTAACAGACTTAACTTAGACATACTATTACAATCATTGTAATAAAATTCATAATTTATGCTTGTAATGCAAGAAAAGATTAAAAATCATGCAATTACATACAAGAAAGCAATACAAAATTACAAAAGTTAAAGAACAGAAATGAGAACGATTTTTTAATTTTGTAAAAGTTTAGTTTGCCTTAAAAGGTTAACAAACAAAAATGAAGTGAAAAAATGAAATGAGCAATGCATTTGATTGAAAATTTTCTTTTTAAACTAAATTTTTTCTTTAATATTCAAAAGTAATAGTATGAGTGAAGCAAAAATATTTGTACACATTTGCGATTTGATCTATTTTATGCAATACAATAAAACATTTACTATGTATTTTGCAGAAAAAAACTTTTATTACTGTTTTTGCAAAAGTAACTTATCCGCTCAGTGTTATTTGCTTATTTGATCAAAGAGATTTAAGCATTTATTTTAGTTTTAAGCAATTTATACGTAGAAAAAATGACAACTTCAAAGTGTTATTTCTAATTTTTTGACTAACAAAAAATTGCATTCTTTTTGCATCATTTTATATTTTCAAGAAAATCATTTAAAGTACAATTTGTACTAAATTTAAAACTAATTTTACATACATTTTTTTTTATTAGAATACATTTTTAGAATAAAAAATTCATGCATACACAAAATACATAGTGTGAGAGTGACGTAACAATTATTTATAAATTTTAAAAATTACACAAAAATATTTTTGTAATCTTTTATTAATTGTACGTGAATGTAATAAAAATGTATGTAAAATTAATTATGAATGATATAAAATAAGATAATTGATAATCAAATGTCTACTTGCAAGTATGACAAAAAGTTGAAATGCCGCAGGGAAAAGCATATGCACCAGTTGCACATTTTGTGCAGCTGTCAATTTCAACTCCTGCCTTTACTTTAAAACTTTGAAAAGAAATATTTAGTAAAAAAGAAATACATCTAATTTTAACTTTTATTTTTCACGCAGTGCAATTTTTAAATTGTTATGCTACACGCATGCAAATAAAATTACTGCAAAAAATATATTGACATGCACTAAACATGCATATTTACACACAACTCACAACTAATATCACAATTGTAACTTTAAAAAATACGTCATATGATTTGAATTACTAGCATAACTAGTATAACTTTTTATTTTGAAAACAGAAAATTGTAAGGCATATTGACTGTATAAATTTTATACTGACAACAACGACAAAATAAGATAGAGTAAGTTTGATTTGGATATTCTGAATCACTAAAATTTGTAAATTTAAGAAAATCTTTGCAGAATCACAATGAAATGTTAATTTTAGCTTTGGATCTATGACCTTTCCATCAACTGTATAAACGAATCAGTAGCATATTTATTTTGTAATGTAATTTTTTTTGTACCACCTAGTAACAGATTATGCATAGGTACAATATGCATTGTATTAAGATTATTTAGATGAAATTATAGGTTACTAAAAGGTTATAATATAAGGTGATCTACTGTTTTTTGTAATATGGTTTTTCCTTACTCTTGCAGAAGTCAATATACCTTGCAGTTCGGTCTCATTCAATTTGCGAAATGACCTTCATACTTTGCAAACATTTGATATTGAAATGTGAATTTGCATTTTATTCAAGTGAAAAATTGTAATTTCCATGATAGCAGCAACAGTCTTTGACCTCTGACAAACTGATGATTATACTTTTCTTATCAGATAATTTTGATTGCTAAACTAGTGCATCTGGTCAGAAGCTTTGCTCGTTATCAATGCCGCAGCGTAACCTTCCTAGATTCATTCTTTACTTAACAACTTTATTTTTATCACTGATAAGTGCTTTCTTATTTTCTTTTTGTTATTTCTGACTAATTTCTGAAAAAAAGATGCAAATTTTATTTTTATAATTTTGTTTACTATTGTGTTTTATTCATTTTCACTTATTCAAATATCACTTGATCATCCCTTAATACATATTTAAGTCATTTAATCAGTCATCAACGAGACTACTCGTACTGTTTAAAATTTTTGCGTTACGTTGTAGAGCAGTTTTGTGCATTTCGTGTATTTTCATATTGCTTATTTAATTAATAGTTAAATGTGTTTTTCAGGTATAAAATGGTTTGTCAGTGTGTTATAGCTTCACTTGGTTGGGCTTTTCTCGTATTTCTGATTAGTCGTCTGGCCGTAATTGTTTTCAATCTTATATATCCATTCTTTATTGCCACACCTATTAATTTGTTAAAAGCAGCTGGTAGTAAATGGGCAGGTAGGGAATATATGCTGTATTTAATAATTTACAGGAATTAAAGTTTTTATGAATTCAGCTTCCATTTATAATTCTTCCTCAAAATTTATAATTTGTCAATAATTTTCAATAAAAAACTCTTTTGTAGTTTTTAAATGATTAAGTTAATGATTCTAAATTTTTTAAATTTTAGTTGTTACTGGTAGTACAGATGGAATAGGAAAGGCGTATGCAAGTGAACTAGCACGACGTGGTTTTTCCATTGTTTTAATTTCACGTACTCAAAGCAGGTTGGACGATGTCAAAAAAGAAATTCTTGCAGAATCTAATGTCGAGGTTACTTATAAACTTGTTTTCATGTTTCTTGTCCGTGTCGTTTTTTGATAGAAATTATTTACATTGTATCAGCTCATCTGCATCAATTTTGAAACGCTCATATTGCCGAGAACTAGTTTTATTTAAGAAAGATGTCTAATTATTGTTACTTTATACAGTTAAATTCTTGTTTTGGATAATATTAGCAAAACTCGATTATTCGAAAGAAAGCAGTAAAGAGTTTTGAACTAAAAATTGAACATAATGTATGTCATTATAGTATACATTTGGATGAAATAATATAAATTCTTCCTTTAAAAAAACATGCGTTTCTGTTTAAATTAAGATAATTGTTACAGGTAAAAACGGTGGCATTTGATTTTACTACTACAAATGTAGGTGAATATGAAAAAACAATATTACCGTTGTTTGATGAACTTGAAGTCGGGATATTAGGCAAGTGCTATTATATAATTAGACTGTTTGAACAATATATAGATTAATTCGGTTATCAATGAATAACTAAATATAATGTGCTGCATAAGATTATTTTACGTTGCATAATTTTGATATATAGTGGTTTTTGTTTTAACACACTAAGATGTTGCGATTAGCTAAAAATAGAACATGTATCAAGTAATGGTTTCCTCAGAATTTTACATAAATTGTTATTACTGTCAAATTATCATCTTACAAACGCCCGAAACCGATAATTACTCTTTACAAGGATGAAATAGTTAGAAGTAGTATCTTAATATGCAAAATATTCTACAAGTACATTGCATCCCTCATTAATATTGCAATTAATGTGCCTTTAAAATACCTTCTGTTTCATTTTCAGTCAACAATGTTGGCGTGAGCTTCAATTATCCTGAACTGATGCATAAGGCAGAAGGTGGACTTCAAAAACTTGCAGATGTTGATATCGTGAATACTCTTCCTGTAACTTTGGTAAATCAAACCTTATTTTTAAACATTTTCATTTATTTATTACTGAGAATCTGTAAATGGTTTTTTAGATCTTTTCATTCACAATTACTTTGTTAGTGTCCGTGTAATATTGCTATATCATTCCCAAATTTATTAACTTTTTAATTTTAAATCTGTTCTAGCTATCAGCTGCCGTATTGCCTTCTATGATTGAGCGTAACAGTGGTATAATTGTGAACATATCATCTGCTGTTTCTTACAGTCCTTTAGACATGCTCAGTGTCTATTCAGCTTCAAAGGTGATGGAAATTTTTTAAAGTTTTGTTGGTGATAATTATCCGCTTTATCTTTTGTCGCAATTATGAAATCGTCTTCAAGCTCGCCACTAAAATTACTTGAACCACTAAGCTTACCACTAAAGTTACTTGAACCACTAAGCTCAACAATAAATTTACTTAATTGCAGAAGTATGTGACATGGTTGTCGAAGATTCTACAAAAGGAGTGCGCGAAAACAAATATAATCGTGCAGACTATTTGTCCGATGCTTGTAACTACCAAAATGTCGAAGGTGGAACTTTTTGAATCGCAAGTTAATTCAAATCGTCATATTTTGTCGTAATTACAAAATTCGCTCAATATATTCTAGTGAAAAGGTGCTAGGCAGCTTCTTGACGTCATAGTGATGTTTAATCAAAGTCGTCGACAAACTCGTTGTAGTGTATTATGATCCACGCTCTTTTTATCTGTTAATCAATGTACAAAAAGCTTTTTAAGGTTTCGCGTCCATCTTTCTTTATTGTTAAAGCTGAAGACTTCGTAAAAAGCGCTATTGGTACGATTGGTATTGTAGCTGAAACAACGGGCTGTTTCGCGCACCAGATTGAGGTTTTTTACTTTTCGTCTTCGATTCATGATTACCCTTTTAAATCTTGTGTTTTCAGTCAGCCTTTTCTTGTTTCCTGATTAGTTCTACTTTGGCCGATCTTTACGAATCAGAGGAAATGTTCTTACTGTATTTCAAGTTTTGTAACTTTATGGACTCGATGTGACAAAAATTAACACTCACGTTAAGTTTCAGGTCGAAATAATTAAAAACCTACCTGAGTGGCTTGTTGTGCCTTTTCTAAGTGAGCAGACAAAGATTGTTCGTAAAAAAGCACTTGCGAAGAAAGCTAGAGATGCTGCAGCAGCTGCTCAAGAATGAATGTTGCAATTCTATCCCCACCATTTTCAAGTTGGAATATTCGAAATTTTGCCTTTTTACACTTTTAAACGTGCATTTTTTGTCGACGATCTATTGCATTTCATGCATGCTTCATCTGTGTATGGTCAAAGCATCTATGTTTGCAACTATTCTGTTTGTTCTTACTTGCTGTTGCTAATGATAAAAAACTTTTTTTTCTGAACCAGTTCGATTTTGAAGACAATATAATTATCAGTGACACGGATTAGAAATAGTTAACGATAGATATGCTTTTTAGGACTGCAACAAGTAAGAGGAGTTGACATTTCTAAGGGGTACAAGTAATGCAGGCACATTGTATAATTACAAATATGTGATTTTCTTCGGCCAACAACTGTCGGATTACCATACTGAATATGGAACACACTATTTATTGTTTAGAAAATTTTGGAAGTACAATCTATCTAAATTTCAATCAAGGTCCATCTGATCGTCTGTTTTCTTTTCTTCATTAGCCTTTTCACTTTCCTCGTTCCCAATATCTGGTTTTAAGCACGCAAAATTAAAAAAAAAGATCTACAAAAGTACACATTGTTTCATCAAAAACTAATTTTGAACACGATTAGTAAGTTACGTAAAATCTGTTTTATGAAATAAGTATTACTTTTCACTACACTCATGACAATGTTATTCAAAACTCACGAGAAGGAACTGTAGAAACATCGGAAACAGTTTCCTTCTCACATTTTTCCAATTCTGAAGCCCATGCAATCACATCTGCAGTAGTAGGTAAGAAAATTTAATGCGAAAGTAAATATTTGAATTGTCGTTTAGTTGAAATAATTTCATGAAATGTTAATGAAGTAGAAGTAGTTTCCATCAAAAGTTACCTCCTTTTCCTGCAGTAGCTGTTACATTCTCATTTATACCAAACTGTCGTAAAACTGGTGCCAATTGTCCAGTTTGTAATGCATGGCCAAAAATATTAACGGCCTGTCGAAATTGGGGAGTACGCAAAGTTTGTTCCAATTCTTCTTGACTAGTATAGGTAGGTTCCTAAAAAATATAAAAATTTACTAGATTCACAGAGATCAATTTTATTTCATGAAAAAAAAAATTAATAGTTTCAAATATGTGGCGCGCGTATTGACTATCATTTTGAAATAAATATGACTTACTTGATTTGGAAGATGAGGAATCAATCTATCACTATATTTGCATACAATAGTATTGATTTTGTCCGCGCAGCACAAGACATCTGTGAAATCAATCCCAACTGCAATAAATATTGAAGGCTATATTATAACTTCAAAAGAGTCAAATGCAAACAGAAAATGAATAAAAATGACCTATAGACTCTTTTTTAAACAAAAGCAGCATCTGCTTCAAATCTTTGACTTTTAAAAATACTAAAAACGAAGTGTAATGAATAGCAATGAACCCATTTTAGTAGCACATTATGGTGAAAATCTTTAAATACACTATTTCCTCTTTCTATGAAATTCCTACCCCTAAACCGAACTACACACAGATTTCTGAATTATTCATTTGCATAGATCATCTTTCACTCACTTCTTACTGATTCTTTATAACAAGTTCGTCACCATTAAAAATAACATATGACATAGTCATGATACTGCTTTTTGCTTATATTCTATTTTTCTATCAGTGATAGCTACCACCACTTTTCTACTTTTTATAACAATTCAAAACAAAAATATATTGAACTTGTTCTGAAAACAGATGTAGGCATAACGCAAACTTTAAAACTTACATTTTCTTCCAGTTCCATTTGGTGCAGTAATGCTTGCAATGATATCCTTTAATTGTGATAACTGCACTTCATTATTAGATGAACCACCAGCGACGGTCCCATTGGCAGGTGTGTTGGATGGTGTAGCTACCTGAACCGACGCTGTTCCACTTCTTTCCGATGCAACTCTGAATGTTTTTCTTATTTTTTACGTTTCTTTGCACAACAGTGATCTTAAAATGTTTCATAATTTGATTAAAAATTTTAGAAGCTGTCCGTCTTCAACATAATTAACTGCTGCCTTAGATTCAAATTCTGCAGGACTTTTCAAGGATATATTTAAAAGAACAAGCCGCTATATAATGAAACTATATTGCTCCGTTTAAAACAATTTAGTTCAACAATTTCATATAATGCAATTGTCAAAATAAACATTTGCATAATGAAGAGCATTAAAAAAGATTATGTGATAGAATATGAAATATGATTTTTTTCCAGTTTCTGAATAATATGAAAAAATAATCAAAAGTACTGAGTGTGCCACACATCAGCTAGAAAAACTAAAAAAAGTCTAACGGATGTGAAGAATCAGCAACAACAGGAAGCTGTGGCAAAAGATTAGCAGCTTCACTGGCTGATGTACCACCACTAGAGTGATTCATCAACGAAAGAAGCTGTAGCAGCTGAGTTTGATCCAAATTTCCCAATGCTCCAAGCTCATTATCGGATGCAGCACCACTTAGTGCTGCTAACGATCCGAAAGAAGAGGTACCACCACGTTCATTTCCCCGTCCTGCCGCTCGTGGCGCTGGTGGATTATTTAACGTGTCATTAACCTTAACAGTATTTTTGCAACTAAACGCTTACTATACCACATTAATTAAGAAATATGAAAGAGATTAAAAAATGCAATAACTATTATTTTTTTCTGAGAATCACTAATTACAGAGACTATCACATACAAAATAGTATACTCTAAAAATAGTTACAGTACTATTTTGCATTCGGTGCTATAATGCTTATTCTCGTTCACCTACTGAACAAATTTAATTTTTCTTGA